AATGGCTTCCACTTCGATTATCCCGTACGGTGGCCCAAAGGGCTCCCAAAGTAACAACAGCCCTTTGAGGACCACCGCACGGGGGTAACGACCAGACAGGGAAGTGCCAGAAAGCAGGTAAAAGAAGAGATGCAAGCGACCCCTGATGCAGTTCACATACTCACCCCGAGATGACAGCCGCCGCGTAGCCACCCTGTCCCGCAACCATGGCAACCTGACCGGAAACCCTTGACGCCGGCACGACTTGCTCGGCCCCATGTACCGTACCGTCGGCTGGGTCCAACAGCTGCGTGCCACCAACGGGGTTGGAAAGTCAGTATTTGATGGTGATGGTCGTCCTTTCGCAGGGCCTAAAGACATGTCCGTCTAGAGAAACGCACGTGGATGTCCTCATGGACAGGATCTCATGGACGGGCTGCGTCCATGTGGATTCGTGAGTTGCCTCGGCATACGTTAAAAGCACGCGTACAAGGGGGCGCCAAACCTGTCCAAAGGCTTAGAGCCCCCAAGGAAACCTGATGACAGCCCCCATAGTTTAACGATCGCCAATAAGTAGCTTCCCCTATGCGCACGTGAGTGCGCGCCCTCCCACAGATGTGAACCTGGCGAGGAGGCATCCATCTTTCCAAGGCCCGTACCCTGCAAGTTGACCCCTACCTGAAGCTCCCCGTCTTGCAACAAGAGCATCTTTTCGGAGGAAGCATCCGTCGATGGGACTCCAGCTAGTGTTGGAACTGCTGTACTTGCCGCTTTGCGCTGCCAAAGCAAATTGCCCTCCAGATCGAAAGCCCTTAGGTAGCCATCCAACGCTGTGACAAACGTTTGTGATTTTGGAAGCACGACTGCAGACGGGGAGCCGTCGCTGACATCCCCTAGCGCCTTACGCCAAGCAAGGCTGCCGTCGCGTAAGTTCAAGCAGCCGACTACTGTCTGTGCCGTGGCGACGCACACGCGTGGCTTTGTGGGATGGAAAGATGCACTAGAAACTAACCCGATGTGCTGCCGGTACCAATCATATGTGCCTACTTGGTCCTCAAACATCGCCGTGGTTCCACGGACAGCCGCCAGGGCCGTTAATAAAAACAGTATCATGTCTAACATCCGTAATTTTGTTTGAAAGCTACGTTAAAACAACTACATGAAGGAAGTAAGAAGACATTTTCCTAGGCAAAATATCAAGGCCTCTTGCTACATACACACAATCTCTGTCGTGCAGCTAATTAGCAGATGTAAATAAAGGATTACATGCCGTGCATAGCGAAAAGCAACCCAGACCCCGTTAGCCACCGTTACGCCAACGGTCACCGTTCGTTGTACACGCTCTCGTTGTCAAGACCCCGAGTCCCCGACCGCGCGGCAAGCCCATTGCCGGCTTCAAATCCCCCAAGATGATAGCCATAATGACTTGTCGATCTTTGTAGTACATTTGACTTTGGCCTTGCAAGAATTATCGGTGGTTGCGGCAACCGCAGTTCTAGACATCGGGCGTCTGCAATCAAAACCACATTATGGATTAGACCTTGACAGGCCCGGGAACCCTCCTTCGCTGATGCAATTCCGTAAATTATGGACGTGTTACGCGTCTGCATAAACATCGGTCAGTATGCGACGGACGGTCCTTCATACAGCTCCACATCCACGCTCGGCCTGTTGATTTTGTGCCGTTTCTTCACACGATCCGGAAATAGTCCAACGGGATGATGTGCATACTCGTGCACCAAAGTACTATCTCAGTCAACGGGGGTGTTGGAACAGCCGGAAGCACAACACAGGATGCAAACTCGTCACCAGGCGTGTGCCTTAGGTCATGCGATCGCTTGTTTACGGTGTCCTGTTATAAATATCACCCAAATGCGCAGCGGCATGTGTGTCCGACGATATGCTGGTATAAAATACAAGATACACATACGAAAGTTTTGCATCTGCGGACCGCGAGCCGAGAGATGCACAGGACGCATCTGCCCAGCCTGTCTATTGAAGTCAACCCGAGAATAAAACCATCGCTCAGCGTCTCAGGCAAGATACGAGCAGCAACAAGCTGCGTAAGCATATAGCACGTCAGCGCTGCGGCTGGCAGCTACTACTTTACTCCAAGACTTAAGTAAGGGTAGGGCTCCGGAGCGCTGCGAGATGGCAGCGTAGCAGCTTGGCAGCAAAACGGCTTTGGAAAATGGTGTAGCAAAAGCAACACGCACACGCTGCGAAATGGCAGTAAACGTGCTTTGCGAATATAGATCATGTGCACATGCACGCTGCGAAGTGGCAGCAAACCTATTTTCGGGACGTTAGCATGCGGCATGTGGATCTCGCGCGAACACGCGCGAGAAGGCATCAAATCCGTCCTCTCCAACGGGCTTTGTGTGAACCATGCGTTGCGACGTGCAATCTATCGGTACGGAACGGTACGTATAAGTACGTCAAAAGCGTATAAAACAAGAACAGTGCTGGCCTTGCGTGGTTAGCGCACCCAGGCGCACTAAGACATGCAACCTGTGCGTCAAGCATCGTCAGAGAACCCAACCCAAAGGGGAAACCAGCTAAAATCTCCTGAGCATCGTCTCTAATTGCCGTCCTCCTTGTGCTCAGCACGTTGACGCACGCTCAAGCGCTGGCTGTCAGACAGCTGCTGGCGGCTGCTTGGCGCCTTGCGGAGGTGGTCTGGTATGCGGTGGAGGTCCCGACACAGGCGACCTGGGCGGCCGGGGTTGCCTCGGCTGGGACGGTGGCCGGCTAGGGCTGCGCGGTGTTCTAGGTAGCGTTGGGGTGCGTGGAGGTGGCTTTGGGGGCCGGGGGCTGGGCGAAGGTGGCCTTGGTAACCGGGGGCTGGGCAGCGGAGGCTTCGGAGATCGTGGGATATTCGGCGGTGGTTTCGGAGGGCGAGGTGGACTTCTCGGTGGCTTCATTGCGGCAGAGGGACTGGGCGTCTTCCTACTTTCATTTTGCGGCACAGGGCGTGCTGGCACGGGGCTGGGTGGGTCTGGACTCTGTGGTGCAGGGCTGGGCGGCTCTGGACTGGGTGGGCCAGGGCTGGGTGGCTGCGGCGGTCCTGGGCTGGGAGGCAGTGGGTTCGGCGGGTTTGGCCAGGATGGTGCAGGGCTGGGAGCCGCGGGGTAGGGAGACGGAGGCGCGGCTGGAGAGGGTGGTAAGGCAGGCGGCGGTCTTGGGGGTGGCAGTGGCGGCGGCGGCAGGAGCCCGAATCCGACGCACACAGCCCTCGCCGGCGCCGTACAGGATCCCGTGATATTGCTGACGTATCCAGACACGTTCTTGCCGAGAGTGCACCCCCAGATGGAGGTTGCGTTAAAGGGGCAGGAGACGTTCCAAATCCATACCGATTGATTGAGGCCAGGATCGCCGTACAGCCGAGGCCGGCAGTTGATGTTACTGCCGCAGATGAGACTCGAACCCGGGTTGGCGAGGTTATTCACGTAGCCACCGGAGTATCCCAAACCGCGGCAGACAGCGGCTGCGGCACGATTGTCCCAGTCGCCCGCGCACACGGCCCCCCATTGGCCATTCAGGCAAACCTGCAGGCAAAGGTAAAGGGGAGGGGTATGTTCGGCCTTTTGGCGAACACTACTAGGCATGGTGAACGATGCATGGCAGCTTACCCAGGGGTGCATCACGTCCCGGTATTGAGCCCCCGCCAACATGTACTGTGCACGCATTGGCGTGCCCCGGAACCGACGTCGCTCCTTAAAAGCCGTTACCCATATAGCCTCCACACCCTCACATATTCGCAAACATAATTCCCCAAGGAAACGGCCAACCAGAATGTATCAATGCTGCTGCTATAATGGATCTCAAACCCATGTCCCGCTATAATCAACATCATCGCACTCACGTACCTCAACCCGACCCATGCCCGGAGAGCTGCCGTTGACCAGCCGGACTTCCGCGTTGTTGGAGCAGTTGTACGGCGGGGCCGTCAGCACCGGCGTGGCCACCACCGCGCTCCTAGACGGCCAACAAACCAAGCCAACGTCCAGAAAGTGCCCAATGATGGAGGCGGCACATGTTGTGCTGATCCTGGCCCACGCCTCGTTCGGCACACAGTCCACCAGTCGGCTCTCATTCCCGTAGCAAAGATTCCGAAAGGCCGTGGGCTCAAGCCATTTGGGGACGCTCTCAGCGGCAGGTTGGAAACGTGGGAAAGCCCCGGACCCCCCGTACGACGTCATGGGGACGCCGTACGCGGTAGGGACACCCAAAATCTGGCGGCAGGCCATGGTAGTCAGCACGTCGTCCCAACTCGGATTGCAAATAGTTCCCCAGATTCCTGAGGGAAGGAAACAATTACGTATTTGTTTCCTTCATTTTTGTTTTTGACATAAAATGTCAAATAAAATGTCAAAAACAATTTGAGATTGTTTGTGGTCCAAACAACACCTTGGAATATCAGTTAAACTGTGAATGCATTAACGGTCGTATGGGATTGCTAACATGACATCTCTTAACACATTCAAAAAGCACAGCTAGGAGGCGGCGACGTAATCTCAAAGCCAGGGGCCCACGTACCGTTGTAGCAGATTTCAAGCCGGCCCGCATTAGGGTTCGGTCCGTCTACCAGGCGCAGTGCGCCCACCTCCGTACACATGTACGATAGGCCGGGAGTTAGCGGAGAAGGCGGAGGGTTTGGTGGACGAGGGGGAGCTGGCGGTTGCTGTGGAAGGGAAGGAGTGGTTGAGGGGAGAGAAGGTGGCGGAGACGGAGGAGCCCGTGGCGGGGGCGGTGATGGAGCTGGGGGTGGAGGGATGTATTGCTTCGAGCACCTGTACGGATGAGCGGATGCATGGGCAAAGGAACGAGTTACTATATGCATCTGTAACGGACGCGGCAGGTGGGCCACACATGGACGTTTTCCTGATGCACGTGCCGTACCTTACAGTCACGTCCGCCAGGTGTGCCGTACACATGGCCGCGCTCGTCAGCGTATTCTGAAGGACGCCCACGTAACCCGAAATCTCCACAACTGTGTTGCTAGAAATCGTGAACTTGTAGCATTGGCTTAGAGACGATTCCGTGCCGTCGCAAGCGAGGTTGGACAACCAAATCGGCTGGTCTGCGCGCGCGATGCCGAAGGCGGCCGTACCCGCTGTACCGCCGTACGCGTAGCCTAGGGAGCGGCAAACTACTCGTGCCTCAGGGGGCGCCCAGGCATCCTGTACGTCCACACGGTGGAAGCGGGCCTAAAAATTGAAAACATTGCTTTGGCAGATATGATAAGCAGGAGTCCAGGCAAATGCCCGCTAAGAAATTGTGTCCGATAATTGGGTGCCCATGGCGAACGGCGCTACGTCCAGAGCCAACACGAGGGTGGGGGCGCAGGTGAGGGAAACCCTAAATTGCCACCCGCACCTGGCAAATGGTGCCCCACAGGCCGTTGTAGCAGAACTCCACACGGCCTCCGGCTGTCCCAGCCGTGGTGTCGTTATACCAGTCATCCCCACCCAGGCGCACAGCGCCGGGAGTTGAACCTGCCAAAAAAGGTAAAGCCAAGTCGACGCGCAACGTGACCAACAGATTATGAACAGGTTTATGGTCAGGTTTTAAAACCACTGGATGCAGCTTGCGGATGGATTATGACGCATATGTTAGCTTTGGTCCACCCTCAAAAAAATTGCGTGATCCTTTCGAAGAACACGAAGCCTCCGGCATAATCATCAGACCTACATTTGTAGGGGCTGGCGGGAGGCGGCGGTGCGAGGATGGGCGTATTGGCGCAGGCCACGGCCGCCTTCAGGCCGTCCGGACAGCTGCCAGTGTCCTGCCAGCCCCCTGCCAGGCAGCGCGTGAAGTCGTTCTCTGTGCCTGAGCACTGAACATATTGGGCCCAAACGGGCTCCCCGCTCGTTTCGCTGGTGCTTGCAGACACCGCGTAGCGGTAACCCAATGACCTGCGAGATTACGGGGGGTCCGGGGGTGGGGGGGACAGGGCAGGGCAGGGCAGGGCAGGGTAGGGACCGTCAAGCGGCTGCGGGGCACAGCATGTGAGCGTTGTCGCGTACAGCAGCAAGCAGATAGCAACCACGATCGCGAGCAGTGCATCATCAGCAGCAGCACATGGCTGCAGAGAGGAGGAAGATATAAGTCAATCGAAGTGCCGCGCATTTTCCTCCTGCTGGCTGCTGCGCCCTCCCTCACACCTGCAAACCACGTCGGCGTCCTCTTGCCCCCAGAAGCTGTCCGCGCACACAGCGCCCCAGCGGCGCCTATAGCACAGCTCAACTCGCCCCCATGCTTCCACTCCGGGAATAGCAGCGACGCTGCTTACAGGAACCAACCGCAAGTCGCCAGCGGTTTCACCTGCAAACACACGGAATCAACGCATCGCCACAAGGCCGGGGCTGAGGTACACATTTCCGGCGTGCCAAGGCTATGCACGTACGATGACCCGGGGCGTTCCGGGAGAGGTGACGAAGCCCGCCCAATTGCTGTTGTCTGTGTCTTACATGAAGGGGCCGTGTACGGGATGGCGGCGGGGACTTCCGGTGTGCCGGCACTCCAGCATGTTGCACCGGCGTCCCTGGCGTGTGTGCAACGGCTTGAGCCTGGTGGCGCCCCCTGCGTGCAGGCTGAAAGGCCCGACTCGGTTCCCCTGCGATCCGAGGCGGTGATCAAGAAGCACCGGCTGAGTCAGGTGGCGTTGCACTCAAGGTGCAATGTGCTGAAAGGGACTGGCCCATTTATGCAGCTGTGAATCCAGTAGCGCTGTAATGGGGGAGGGTAACCGTGACGAAAACGCCTCCCAAATTGCGGAGTGAACTGCATCGCATATGGCCCACAGAGACCATGTCTAGACCAGGCGCGAAGCCACAAACTAGTAGAGGAGATGGAGTAGCAACGAGCGTGGAACAGAAGGTGCAATACATTTGATAGGACGAGCCCTGGGATCTTGATTCTTGGGAGATGCGGCAATGATGTTGTTGCGCAGCTGTGCTCTGCAGAGTAACTCCTTACGTGCAATTGACCTGGGAGAGCCACACGCGCATGCCGGCAGGTCCAGCGGTGGTCTGAACTCCGTCGACGGCGCTGCCTCCTGCGAAGCCCATCTGCCGGCAGGCGACGTCCGCATCCAGGTCGTCCCATTCATCGTCGCAAATGCTGGGGCAACAGGTGTACCAAACGTATATAAGGCAAGGAGAGAATTGTTGGCATTAATTATCGATGGCATTAAATAATCGATCATTGATAATAACGATGGCATTGATAATCGATCAAGGGCCATACCACCACACGCCCGTAAAAGTAGGGATGGCAAGGGTCGATCGCCGTCAACTAATACCGTTTCCAGCCTCACCTGCCCCAAGTGCCGTTCAGGCATACCTCCACACGACCGCTGGTAGATCCGTTGAGGCGCACTTGCCAATCCACGTCACCTGCGCACATCACAAGGTGAGAGGTTAGTCCCGGGTGCCGCGGGTGCCATGGGTTCCACAACTCTCCGCTCTGCGGCTGCCCAACCATTCAGCTCTGCGAGCGGGCAGAGCGGTTCGAAACGTTGGTGGATGTAAGGCAATGGATGTCTGCAAGCTTGAGCTGCTTTCCCTAACAGTGCCAAGAAAGTAGATAGGCAGTTCGGTAAGTCGGTAGCTAGGTCGGTAACTAAGAGGGCAAGCAGGCGACCCAAACCCGCATCAACCGACAGAGACACACACACACACACTTGCACGAAACCCCCTTGCACGACTCAACCAGCCTTGCGACCACCCGTCGCAAGAGCCAACTAAGCCGATACGCAAAAACCTAGGCCAAACATCGATGATTATTATTATGAAAAAAATAACTACAGATGCCCAATTTGACGGACAATCATGACAGGTCGGTCGGAAACATACATGGGTAGCTCGCATACGCGTACTCCAGGTCTATGCTGCTGTCGGTGCTGCCGCTGCTGCTGCTGCTACTGCTGCCGCCGTAGTCCGTAAAATTGCAGATTACTCCGGCAGTTTCCGCGCTGGCGCAGTTGGCCAGATTGCCCCATGCGTTGCGGGAACATTCGTCAAGCCTGGACTCCGTGCCCACGCAATCCACGCCCGTGACCTCCAGCCATGCGAATGTTCATCGGATTAAGATGCGCGGAAAGGAAAGAGCGATGGGGCAATAAGGGATAAGGGAGAACTGATGGCAAGTCCGGAGAACCAGAAGCTAATAACAGTTCCACGCAGTTTTCAAGTGTATGATGCGAATAAAGGGCACATGTGAGCGCGATCACGTGCACGTGAACAGACCTTGCACCCGAATTTGCAAGTGTAACATTCAAACCCCTACAGCTATGCGTGTTAGCTGGAGAGGGCATCGCATTTCTGTAGGCGATAAATGCAAGCAACAAAAGCAAAGAATCAAGAGCAGTGCATCGCCTGGTGAGTTGGTGCTTGGAAGCGACAAGACGACTCAAAACGAACCCGATAGGGTGACAGCCCTTACCAGCACAAAGCATAACGAAATCTGACATTCCTAAGGGCGCGCAACTGCTGTCAGGCCCCCTAAACGTCGTGTGCCCCTATAGCGGCAGCCCTAAGTGCAGTCGAGCATCTGCAGCAGCGGAGATTTTGTGCGCTCTTGCTGACTGCCACCGAAAGCCCTGACGGGGCCCCCCTGGGACCTCCTGAACCCCGGAGAGCTGGGCGATAACTCACCCAAAAATACTTCTGATCGGGGCCTTGTGGGCCGAAGAAGTTGTTCGCAGGCACTGCCTGGCCGGGAATGCCCAGCTCCCGACACACCACCTCGGCCTCCTCGTAGCCCCACCCTCGAGAACAGATGCTGCTCCACCAATCTGCAAAGGAGCGCACGAAGGACCGGCACATGCATCACGTACATAGCGTGATACCATCGAGTTGTTAAGGTCGTCATACCAACATTATTATTACGGTTCTGCCATGGACGTGTTGCTCAATTCTACCATCAACGCCTGGCGGCTCCACCTCCACGTCGCGGCTGCAGAAATCATAAAAGCACGCAGACGCTATAGTCGATGTCGTTCCGCTTGAGTTTTGATGTACGACGAGATGAGAGCGCATATATGCCAGATGACAAACCGTGCCGTACGGAGATTTCCGTGTGCGTGGTTTGCCACTCGCCGTACTCACATGACGTGCCGTACACATCAGCCAAACACATCTCCACCCGTCCTCTTGTTCCGGGGGGACTCTCGGGCTGAGTCCTTCCGACCAACCTGATGGACCCATTTGTGGAACCTGCGCAGTGGCAAAACATAAACATGTGAGCCCTTTCCAGGGGTTCAGGCTCATGTGTCTGCGGATGTTTTACTTGGTTAAGATGAACTGAGCCGCGAGAAGAAGTGCGGACATCGGGGGCCGTGTTCCCGCGGCAGACATAGTTGTGCTGCTCTCTTCAGACACGCATGCCACACTGAAACCCACCCACGCAATGTGGAGTGCGGTGACGCACAGATAGCCCCTTCGAATCCACTCTCAAAACAGTTCCATTCGCATAACGCTTACATGCGTAGTTCGTGGCGTTGAATGGCGGTGGCGGTGGGGGAGCCGGAGGAGACGCGGGCACCGGGTCGGCAACGCCAGCGCCGTTGTACCGCCAGCGTACAATGGCGGCGAAGTGCTGCGCGGTTATCGGCACCCACAGTGAAGTCGTATTGCTTTCCGCAGGCTTACCGCTGAGCACGCCGATGACCTTACCGTCCTCCAAGTCCGTAACTGCACTGCCAGATTGGCCGCCGACTGACCTGAACCAGGTTGGCACCTGCACGGCAAATAGTCTTTCCTATTAGTGGCCTTATCTGTGCAAGCATGATTGCTTTCCACTCTTCTGACGGCTGGCAGCTTCCAGCAGCAGCTTCCAACAACAGAACGGCAGCAGCTGTAGATAACTCTGAAACCCGTTGGTAGATTCATTTTAAGGGGGACAGCACCAATCGCAAACATGGGTCAGCGGCACCGTACCCTGGCTCCCGGCTGGCACATCGAGCTTCCAAACGTGAAGTCGCCACACCATTGGTACCAGTCCATGATGTTTACGAAGCCGTCCGGTGGTTGGGCTTTGTCCGAGGGGTAGCCGCAGGTGCTCGCGCTGTACAGCTTCTGCAGCAATAAATACCATTAAGTTTTGAGCTGCGGTCAGGAAAGCTGACAGCCGAGGAAGGCCGGTAAGGCACATAGGAAGCACCCAGCTCTTCCATCACACGCACCTTAGAACAGTCGTACTTGACACCCACGTACGAATGGTACGGCAAAACGGAATCAGGGCTCAATGTGGCGACCCGAATCATGCCAATATCATAGTAGTTCACGTTACTTAGCTGATTGCCTCTGAAGTACTCCGCACGGTACCAAGTGGTAAAAAGCGCCTGGTAAGTTCCAAACGGAGCTTCAGGGCCATTCATGGCAGGGCGAATCTGCGACGCCGTAGCAACCAAAAGCATAAGCAAGCTGTTCAGCGCGGCCCGCCGAGGCAACTGTGCCGACCGTACACAAGGGACATCTCGATTTTGCTGTAGTGCTTTTGTATTTGCCTTGCTTACCCGAAAATTGCTGTATCTTGTTGCAGGTTGATTTGTTGTTGACATCCAGTCCCGTAGGCAATGCGCTGCAGTCAAAATGTCGTACCCTGAAATCCAGGTTCCGGAGCAAGCCCCCATTGTCGGCATGGTGGCCGAACCGCCAGTTGTGTAATACATCTGTACGATAGCATTGTTAGGCCAGTACAATGTACTTTCAGCTGGATAAAAGGTGTCTTGTTCGAGCAATGCCCGCGCTGCACGGGTGCTAGCTTGGCTGCCTGACATTTCTTGATCAGGCTCCGTTCGCATCCCGGTAAGCGCCAGCTGCGCCAAACGAGCCGCGTCTCTGGAGCCTTCTAATTGGGCTGACCCCGTAGCATGGTCTTCAGGATTGCTCCAGGGCTCGACCTCCGCGTACAGCGACCCATCCTGGTGTAGGCGGAACGAGCGAAAGACCAGCTTTCCCTGTCCTCCAGAACGGCGACCGTCCCTGGCAATGGTAACACCGAGGGTTGTGGGGAGGGCCTCAGGACAGGTCATGAATGTTGGAGCGCGCTCCCACTGGCCTGGTCATTGCTGCACGCCGTCAAAGGACGCGGCTAAGCTAGCATGACGACGGAAATAGACAGGCATCTTTCCAATCGTTTCTACTCCCAGGCGCTATGTCCTGACTCGTGAATGGGTTCTCCTAGGCGGCGCTTTGGTTCGGGATGGAATTCTCGGCCGTCATAACCTTCCGTGTCTCTTCCTCTAACCCGGCGCCATAAACCCTAGACAGCTTGATCTATTCCCCCAGGTGCAGCAACAGGCCGTGCGGAAGCAGCACATTCGCGGTGGACGTGATGAACCACACTGCTGGATTGGGTGTTGTTGTGGCGGACTGGTCGTGCGTAGCCAGGCAGATGCTGGTAAGAGGCAAAGAGCTGGGCGTACAGTAGGGCATATCACGATGGCTGGTGTGCTGGCGAGAGGGGCGAACCCACCTGCCGTTGGAATGCTGCTCAAGAGCACGGCGCCCTCGAGAAGGCTGAGCAGCATCGGGACTTATACCCTGAAAGCCCAGTCTATCTGCTTTGCCCAGGTAAATAAAACCATGGTCGTGAAATCTGAGGACCGTTTCACCATATTCGCTGAGCTCTGGAACGGAATCTTCGTTGTGCGTCGTGGGATGAGGAGGGCGACGAACCGGATCCTTCGTACCCACTGCTTTGCGGACTGAATCCCCGGGTGTGTGCGTCCCAACAGCAGTTCCGATATCCTTGAATAACGGGTCTGTTGCAGAGAAAGAATATGTGCGATATTGTTGTCAACTGAGAGCGTGCGTAACGCTGATAATCCTACCATTACATGCCCCTTCCGTGTATGCTGTGATGCCCTGGCACAACGCCAGGCACTCATTCTGCAAAGTCAACATCGCCTCGGTACAAACAGGTTTTGTATTTCCGGAGCATAATTTGCATCCATGGAATTTCCATCGAGGCGAGGATGGCGACAAGTCCCCCTGCGCTGTCGCTTGAGCCATCAACGCTGTGACAAGCACCATTACTGCCCATGTGCACTGAAACATCTTTTCAAATATATTGTAACACGTTCGATTGCATGTCGTTATGCTAAATGCGAAGTAACAACTTCTATTGAGTCCAATGCTGAGCCATACAAGGGTTACTTCAACGGCTTGCTAATAGGTGTGGGAACGCATTGCATACGTGTCAACACAGAAATGCTGCATAGGTCCTCGGCAACACTGCTGAACGAGGACGTCTATTTGTCGTATAGCAATTTGCGAGAGCGGTTTAGAGCGTCTACAGGCGTCGCGTCCGCGCCCGCAATCAAACCAGCTTATCATTAAGCAAGTATAGATGACGCATTGGTAACGTATACA